TTTTGCAGTTTGTGTTTCATCTCTTAGCTGTAAACACAGACAGAGTTCTGGAAATGCATGCCGGAAGGACAGCTGGGCCAGGCACTGCAGAGAATAGATGAATGAAATAATGAGTAGCGTCCTGATATTTCTAACGAGTAGCAGCGCAGCCATCGACAGATACCCGGCCTGGTGCATTGGCTCGAACTGCATCGGCCCCGTCTGAGCTATCTCCTTCTCCTCCGTCCTGATGAGCACGTGCCACGAGACAAGTTCCTGTTTGATCGTTTCACCGAGTCTGTTTGTGACAGGTGCACCCCGCCTCATGCCCACTTAAAACCTCTCCAACCATCAATGCTGTAAAATCGCCCTGAAATGACTCGGGTAGTACCTCATACGGCCACCAGCAGCAGCATTCCGACCGAAACGGCCGCCATCGAGTAGCAGAAGAGCCACTGGTTACGATGCGGACACTTCGCAACGCGCACCAGAATCGATATATTAATTTACATCCGGTCGATTTTACTTCGAAAGGATGAAATTTCGTGGCATGGCGTAGATTGGTGGATTTCGTGCTTACTGCCGCAGGACAACGGCACATGACGCTGGGGGCTTTTGGTTTGCGCGAAAATGTCGTTCTCTGGGAGAGCGGGGGGGGGGAATTACGGTGCTTTTGTGGTGAGCATGTTCAAGGCGGATGCTGAAGACACTTCGAAGAGCATCTTGAAATGGCTAAAACTTTTGCGAGTTGCTCGATCAGGAGAGCCGTGGAGTTGCTTGTTCACGCGGGAGTTGAAGCGAACGCCGGGATCACCAGTAGCAACAGCAGCAGGTTGGCTCTCGGACGATACAGCGCACGGGTCAGTGGTCAGCAGTTGTGTAGCTGGAGAACCAGGCTCATTGGTCAAAGCAGCTGAAGGGGATCTCAGTTGGAGGATCGATTAGCAGCTGCTGCAGCAGCAGGTGAAGATGAGGTGAATTTGCATGGGAATCCCGGCTCGAGAAGCTTTCAGCCTCGTGACCACTGTTGGGAAGCAGTCACAAGATCAGGCATTGCTGGGCCAATTTTATACCCGCGGGAAAAACTGCCCGAGTTATTGCCCTGCACTTCGCGATATTACTGCAGTGCGGCAAGAGAAACCTCAGTGAGGGACGTGTTTCGAGCTGGTACAAGCTGTCGGTGCACCACCGTTGCCGGATGGTGGCCATTCTTGTGGCTGTCACTCAACGTGTACAGGGCAAGCGAGCAAAACGTTCGGCCTCTTACCTCAGTCGCAGCGGTCTGTATCCTCACCTGACGAGGATTCGACTGTCTGCTTAGTTATTTCTTGGCGTAATTTGCCTCTTATCTTAGTCGAAGCTGTCTGTGT